AAAATGCAATTTTTAAACACACAAAATGAAAGAACCCAGCAGGAACCAGTGCAGAAGGGATGGATCAGCTCTGATAGGGACAGTCAGAAACAAATTAGCTTTATGAAATGAAAATGTAGATGCCATCAGGAAGTCGCATGAAAGCAGACAGGGGGAAGAAAAACACAGTTTGTTTATTTTAGGGGACTGTGATCAAGAAGAGAAGTTTTGTTTCATATGAGAAAGAGAAGTCGTCAATCAATGTTTGATGTTATTTGAGAAGAGGTATTGAAATTATATGGCTGCTTGGGTGGGATGGCATTTTGTCTGTGACAAAAACGGGGGCAGTGCAAGGCATTTGCAGCTGGAGAAAAGGACAAGACGAGTCCTTCTCTGCTCTATGTGCCAAAGCCATTTGGTTTGTTCTGTGATCCTTGTGCCAACGTTGGCTAGAATCCTGTTGGTTTCATCTGCATGCATAGGTTCCCCTGCAAAAAGTGGTTGGGCATTTTTGTCCAATGCAGAGCAGATTCATTGAGTTAAATCTTACAGAAGCGGAGTTGCACATGTGTCACCCTGAGTTCAGAGATGCGCATGCACCTAGTGACTGCAGCTGAACATGCACATTTGGTGGTGCATCCAGTTTTGCAATTCATGGAGGAGGTAGTGTATCATAACAGCTGCATAACCCCGGGAGTATAAGGCTATGTCCATCTCATCTTTGTAGGACCTTTGTAGGAACTGGATATTGATCTCGGATGGAAAATAGATTAATAAATTGGACAAAACCAAAAAGGAAATGTCTTCAGACCACCACAACCACTTAAAATATCCCTTTTCAGAGGCATTAAGCCCAGGTCTAATCCAAGACATTATACTTCTAAGAACAAGATGGCATTCCCAACCATCCTTGTACAAAAGCCCATTGGACAGGTAGATGGACCTTTCTTCAACTCTAGCAATGGAAAAAACATCTTCCACTATATCAGAAGGCAACAGGTTAGCTTACATGGTATAGTAAAGTGTGCTTAGCAACAAACCACTACCATCTACCATCTTCTGCAACCATCACTTTCTCCCAAACAGTAGGTCTAGCCCTCACAACATCTCTGAATACTGGCTCCTGAGAATGACAATGTGGAGAGCTATTGCATTAAAGTTCTGCTTATCTGGTTAGCCTCTTCTTTGGTTTGTCCATTTTTACTTAAATAATAAAGACAATACTAATGGCACAGGCACTGGGGTTGATTGTTTTGATTCCCCTCAAGCAAGAGACTTTTTCTGATAGAGATGGCAGGCTGACAGAAATCCACATTACTTTTGTCAAACCCAGATCAAAATCACATGCTTTTTGTCAAATCGGTCTATTGATTTTAGCTGTAGGCCAAGCGGCTTGAAAGCACCAAGGAAGGCGTCTCAAAGGAGAGACAGATGAAGGCATTCACTCTCTGCTGTATTTGCTAAGAGAAGGCGCTAGTATCTACCCTCCCCATTTCCATCTGTTTTGGCTCTCTGAAGGATTCCTCATTGAGTAAGAAAATACAAAATCTTACTGACCGAGGAACAGGTCTCTCAGCCCTTCGGCTGGAAAAAGTAACTATAGGAGGAATATTCCTACTCCACAATATTACAAAATGATCAAACATATATCTCTTGAGTGTTAAGAAACCCTGAGGAGAAGAATGCTGGATTGATGAGAATTTTTGCAGTTCAAGACTTGTTCTATGTGAAATTCACACATGCTTGATTTACACAGAAAACATTTTTCTGCATAGATTTTGTTTCCTTTGCAGAATAAGCAGCCAATTTCTAATGCTGTTTCCTGTGCAGAAATGGTGGTTTTCTGTGCAAATAACTCGTGTGCAAATATTTTTGCACAGAATTAGTCTCAAACTACAAATATTTACTTCCTTTCAGAGAGAAGAAAATTAATCAAATTATTTGTTGCTTCCTTCAAGAAGAAAATTGGTGAGGAATTTCATGCCTAGGAACATGCCTAACTCCTGAAGTATTGAGCAGTTGAGAGGTGATAGTGAAGTCTCTTTTCCTCCCTCTCCTTCCTCCACCTCATTCATCTATTCATTCTTCCTCCTCCTCATCCTCCTTCCCTTTTGTTTCCTAAAAATGCCTGAACTTCATAAGTGATTGTGAGTTAGAAAGTAGGGCAGGCAAATCAAGCAGAAACAAAAAGGAAGGACATCTCCATTGTAGATGTCCGTTCATATCAAAGTCTCGAAGCACCCTGGGAGGGTACAGAAAGATGTAAGCAAGTCAACATAGCCTTCACGAGAAGAGCACATACACACACATACTCCCACTGTCTTCTGTGACCTCTTCCTTGTGGTTCAATGGCTCAAAAAGGAAAGTTACAGAGGCCACTGGTAGGTCCAGATCTCTCCAAGCCAGTTACTTAGAAGGGGAAGGCCATATGCGCCTTCACACTGCTAGGGAATATTGTTGCCTTCTGGCTTCTTGGAAACATCTGGTTGGCCAACAGGGGAAAGAAGATGGTGGTCCAGAAGGATCCCTTATTGATGCAAGAACCATGCCTCAACTATATCTTAGTTGTGCAAGAATGTAAAGGTGGAAGTCAAGAGTATATGGGAGAAATCGGAGTGAGAGGCTGTATTGTCTTCTATTGAGAACATTAAGGGCCATATCATTTGGTAGAACCCTGTAGAAGTGAGAGTATGTTCACATATCAAAGACACACATGCATACATTGAATTTGTTTCCTGTCACTCCAAGAAGCCTCCAAGGGCTGAAACAATCTATACTGCATTGGCTGGCCAGTGATTGGTTGATTGACTGACTGATTGATTGAGTGCCTTCTAGGTATTTCTGACTTATGGTGACAAAGAGCTGCCCTTGTCACAGAATTTTCTTAGCAAGACTTGTTCAGAGGAGGGTTTGCCATGGTCTTTCTCTAAAGCTGAAAGAGTGTGACCCATCTAAAGCCATCCAGCAGGTTTCCATGACCAAGCATGGATTCAAACCCTGGCCACCAGAGCTGTAGTCCAGTGCTCAGCTAAGTGCATTTCTTGTACATTTAGTGCCACATTTCTGTGTCCTGGTTCAGTTTCTCACCATTGCCACTCAACACAAGGGTTGTGTAGCACACTTAGGCTGGCATCCTGTTGCTGACATATGCATGTTTTGGTCGCCCTGTGCATGCAGGGTGAATTATTTACCATAATGTAGCAGACATATGCTGCTAACAGCGGTGAAAGCAGAGTTGCACATACAGAAACATTGTGCATTGCAGTGATTCATTACGCATTGTGGTTGTGCATTAAATATGCACTTGTGCATGGCACATTGTGCATTGCATGGTGTCACCCAGTCATGGATATGTGTTGTGCAGTGTTTCTGAGACTCGCATTCACCAACGCTGCTACTTTGAGGCAAAATATTTCATTCCGTTCCCATCCCTGGCTCTAGAAGCCTAAGAGGATGATTAGAATTACACACAGCGGGTGAAGAGACTAGTCAGAGTTGTAGGTCCATGCCCTTTAGTTACTATGGAAATATAAGTGAGTAACACGGTTTAAATATACAACACCTTCATCTCGTCTGGGTTGTTTAATGGGTGTGTTTTTTTTTTGCAAACTGAATTCCGTCGAGCAATTTTCAGCTTGTTACCCTCTGGGCCCAACGCAGCCATGTCTTGTAAAAGAACAAATTGATCCTGTTTACAGTTTGCCAACATTTTGAGAGCATTGGTTAAGCTCTGATGGAATCATCCATGCTGCAAAAGACACAGAGATAAGTACATTCGCTTGTCCTGAGGAGATTACAGTACAAATAATGAGGCAAGGATTAGAGACAAAGAAGCCACAAGCACAGCCAGATCTGTAAGACAGTTTAAATGGGCATCTTCAGAAATGAGAAGTAGGGAAGGGGAACTACCAAGAGTTTCAGAGTTTCTCCCAAAGGACGGAGATCCTGCCTGGAATGCCTATACCTGTCATCCATAAATACTAGTGGCAGCAGACTCAACAGGGAGCTGTCTGAGATGCTGAACCTACTAAGAGGAGCTATATAATCATTGATGGAGCTATCCAAATGTTTAACCTGCTTTGAAGATAGCATTCAGCACCATGGATAGCTCCTTTAAATTTCATTGTATGACTCAGCATAGATTCACCATCCCACAAGATTTTTGCCCTTGTGTGTGTGTAAGAAATAAAAAGTATGCAAATGGATCTTTGCACCTTTGAGACTAACTGAGTGAAAGATGCTGTGGCATAAGCTTTTCAGATGCATGGAGGAAGTAGACCAAGCCTCTTCCATTTCATCTGAGGAAGTAGGCCAAGTCTACAAAAGCTCATGCTACAACATCTTTCACTCAGTTTCAAAGGTGCTACAAGATCCCTTTGCATATCAATATTCCAGACTAACAGGGCCATGTCTCTGAATTCTAAGAAATACAAAGGCGCCTTTCACTAAACTGTTATTGTTTATTAGTTAAATTTAAATCCCATCTTTCTTTCAGTGACCTCAAGAGGGATATACATGACTGTCTTCTCCCTCCCACTTTATATGCACAACCATCCTGCAGGTAGATCAGGCAGAAATTCAAGGTCAACTGATGAATTTCAGGGCTCAGATCTCCCAAAGCCCAGGATAATTTTAACCCCTTCACTACAATGTCTTTTTAGGCTGCTAGCTGATGGTAGACTGCCACTTGGAAAGAAAACTCCATTGTACCACAGATAATGCAGAGAAAATATAGCAACCAGCACACCAACACCAGAATCCTTTACCTATGCTCTTTATCCTCCTTCTGCAACCTTGTTGGCAAAGTTATATTGGTATAGCTGGACCAGCTATCCCCATTTTCACACCAAATGAAGACAGACACACCCATAACTCAACAAATCTGTTGAATTGTGAAGAATGCATTTTCAATTGGCATTTTGTAAGTCAGGAAGCAGCAAACCATTAGTTAAAAAGTTCCAAACCATTAGCTCCCATCAGCAGACCATTCTGGCCTATTAACCACTATTCTGCAAAATAAAGGAGGACTGTGGTTCAGTGGCCAAGTATGTGTCTAGCATGCAAACGGTGCCAGGTTCAATCCCTGGTGTCTCCAAGTAGGGCTATGAAAAATTCCTATCTGAAAGCCTGGAAAGCCAAAGGAGCTTCTTTTGGCCTTATTGAATCCAGGCTTTTATTTAGAGCACAGATGGAAACTGTGCAACCTCCAGGCATCATTGAATCACAACTTTCAGCTTTCCTCACTATTGATCATGCTCAACTTTCAATTCAGCATCTGGAAGGCCTCTCCATTCCAACATCTGATTCAAAGCCATGAGAACTGGATTCCTCCAGGAGGGTGGCACAGTGCTTCTTCTGCATGCAGAAGGTCCAAGGTTCTGTTGCCAACATCTCCAGGTAGGAAGGACTTTCAGAGCTGCTCCGAGGACCTAGTAATGTTGCCATTACTAGGCTGGACAGAGTAAGGGGGTGATTTAGTATTGGATAGTTTCCTATATTCCCAACAGTATGATTATTAACATCAGCTTTCCCAAGGGAGAAAATTCCCCAAATATCCCTACCTCCTTGCCATTACACAACAGAGAAGAAGAGGAGATGGGGAACAGGAGGAGGAGGAGGAGGAGGAGGAATGAGGAGGAGAAGGAGAAGGAGAAGGAGGAAGAGAAGGAGAGTAAGAAGAAAGAGGGAGGAGGAAGACAAAGAAGACACAGAAGAAGATGAGGAAAGGAAGGTATAAAGTAAAAAGAGGAGAAGGAAGAGGAATGTAGGAAGAAGAAAGAGGAGAAAGAAGAGAAAGAATAAGAAAGAGAAAGAGGAATGGACAGAAGAAAGAATAGAAAGAAGAAACAGGAGGAGAGGGAGAAGGAAGACAATGTCCAGGAAAGCGGCCAAGTATGCTGATAGCCATAATCAGAGCAACACAAAACAAAACAGTGTGCAGAGCTAAGGCAGTCAAGAGATCTGTGCACACAAACAGTCATAAAGCAAAAGTCTTTTAGCAACTAACCAAAGGTACAATCAGACAAAGTCTAGGGTTCCAGAGAGAGATGTGTAGGCAATCCAGGATCAAGGAGTCCAGAGAGACAAGGCAAACTAGCAATCCTAGCATCAAAGTTTACAGCCGAGAAGACAAGGAGAGTCAGGATCAAGTGTACTTTCACTAGGAAGCTTAGATAATCTCTGCAACTATGCTGGCATCCGGCACCTGTTTACATTACCAGACCACAGGTGCTCAGGTATTGTTGATTGCTCGACATTTTTCCCAAAGCCTCCTTGGGTGCTGGAGGCCCTCCCCTTCCTCTCTTCATTGGTTGAAGGTAAGTACGGTCTCTTCTTTCTCCTCCATGCCTGAAGGCTCTGCTGCTGGGAGGCTTGGCTGCTGAGCCTCTTTGGGGGCCACAGACTCTGCTGGAGCTGGCAGGGCAGAACTAGGGCCAGACTCAGCTTCAGGCTCAGGTCCAAGTTGAGGAGGATCTAGCTCAGCCTCCTTGTCCTCAAAGTCCTCAGGCATGCAGACAAGGAAGAGAAAGAAGAAGAAAGAGGAGGAACAAGAGGTAGGAGGAAGAGGAGGGAGGAGGGAAACAAGAAAGAAAAAGAAAAAGAAAGAGGAAGAAAAGAAGGAAGAACAGGAGGAGGAGGAGCAGAAAAAGCCACAGCAGCATCAAGTGACATAGCCAACAGTTTGCTGGCCTAGGGGTCCACCCCGCATTGTATTATGGTTAGCCCGTCCCTGGCAGACATCTTACACACACATACACACACACACACACACACACTTGTCCTGCAATTGTATGCTTGCCCATTTTGACTATGTCCTGCAATTCCAGCTGCTTTTATTAGGCCCAAGCCTCAACAACGAGCCCATTCCATAGGCGAGGAGCCGAGAAACGTCGAGTTCCCTGCTGCTGTTGAAATTGCTAATGAGTTTCTCGTTTGGCATGGGCCCACCTGCTGGCAAATGGAGAGGGCCACAAGTGCCAATTACCAGCCACCATCCTCTTCTCTGGTCAGAAAAGACTCTCCCTGGTGCAGAGAAGGAAACACTGCAGCAAGTCAGTTTGTGCATTTGCAGAATGCAGCATTTGGGGGGATGGTTCCTGCCGGCCTGCCTGCCTTCTGCAAAGAGCATCACATGCAGATCAAGACTCTCTGGAAGTTTTACCCTTCTGGTTTAGAAGGACTTTGCTCCCTGTTTGCTGCAGGGAAGAGTATTAGTTATGCAACAGCATGCAAGAGGTACTCATCGAAAGGCATCCTTCACTTAATTACCTATTTCCTTCATTGTCAGATAAAGCTCTAGCTTTAGGAAAGGGTACAGCAGATAAGCTCTGGTTTGTCCTGGTTGAGATTCATAATAAGCATAAAAAGGCTCCTTGCTGAATTTTAAATAATTCCAGGGTGCAAGGAGCTGTCCTCAGCATGATCCCCAGCACACCACCATTTGTTGTTTATATGTGCCTTCAAGTCATTTCCAACATATGGCAACCTGAAGACAAGATTTCTTAAAAGAGGGTTCCTTTTGCCTTCCTCTGAGGCTGAGAGAGTATAGATTGCCCAAGGTCACCCAGTAGATTTCCACGGCTGAGTGAAGATTTGAACCCTGGTCTCTCAGAGTCTGAATCCAACACTCAAACCAGGATACTGTGCAGATTCTCTATTATATTACCATTTGTTCTTGTTTTGAGCCTTCAAGTTGTTTCCGAATTATGGTGGCTCTATGGTGCTTCTAAGGTGGATCTATCATGGGATTTACTTGGCAGGATTTGTTCTTGTCTTTGGTTTGCCTTTGCCTTCTCTGAGGCTGAGAGAGTGCGACTTGCCTAAGGTTGCCCAGAGGGTTTCCATGGCCAAGCAGGGAATCAAACCCTGATCAAGAGAGGATTTCAATCCTGGTTTCCAGAGTTGCAGTCCAATGCTCAAGCCACTACATCTGTACGCTGGCTCTTTATGTCGTCGTAAAACCCAGAATGTGTCCAATCTTGTCAGATTTCAGGAACTCATAAGAAGTACTGTGACTCGTATATTCAGGACTTGGATGGAAGATTCCCAGGAAATGTTGCAGAGATGTAGGTCAGACTAGGAAAGAATGCATCTTGAATTCTCTGAAAATCATTACTGAAAGTCGCTCCTGACAATGCTAAACAGGCCATAGATCTGAGCAGGTAGAGTCTGCAAAAGCTTATGCTACACCTTCCTTTGCTCAAAGGTGCTAAAAGATCCCTTTGCACACTGATATTCCAGACTAACGGGGCTACGTACCTGCATTTCTAATACCATAAGGAAACTATGAATCTGAAATTTTGCAAACTACAGGTGAGAATTTGCAAGGTTCACCACGGACCACTCCGTCAAAAAGGTCTTGGTACCCACAGATGGCGTTTTCCACGTAGCAGCAAAATGACACTCAACATTTCTGGCACATGTCCTTTTCTTCCCTTGTCCCTTGGTAAACCCAGTGGGCTTCCAGCGATCTCCCATTTTGCATGCATCAGCTTACTTTTCGGAGGAAGCAGATGGGATACTGGCCTCGCATATTCTTGCTTCAGTTGGCAAAATCAAGGACGGGGAAGGGAAAGGCTGCTCTATGAAAGAGGAATGAGATGGAGCTTCATTCATAAATATTACATGCTTCCTTTCCAATGCCAAGGAGCATCATAGAATTAATGTTCTCCTGCTCTCCCCAGCATGTTTTTAGGGAATAACTTGGCAGGCCTTGCCTCCTTTGGTATGCTTTTTTGGAGACTTGGATGGCTTGAAGCTCAGGAAATGTCTCCCGTCTGATGCTACCCGAATTACTATTTGAGCAAATTTTGTCCTGATTTAAAAGGAGCAAATGAAATGCTTGGAAGAACCGTGGAGCTGGAGAACATCATTCCCAAGGGTGCAGAAAAGTACAAAATTCACAATAAAATCCACAGAAATGTGACCTTGTGCCAGTCAGTTGACTTCTAAACTTTAGCAATGCTTCCCTGCCAGACGGACCTGGCAGTCAAATTCTTTTTGTTCAGTCTTGTTTCCATGAATTATGTCCATAACCAACAGTTGAGAGCCCTTAGGGTGCATCTGCACTGTAGAAATAATGCAGTTTGATACCACTTTAACCGCCACAGCTCCATCCTACAGAATTATGGAATTTGTAGTTTGGTGAGGCATCGGCACTCTTTAGCAGAGAAGACTGTAAAACTACAAATCCCAAGATTTAGTTGCAGCACTTAACGCGGCATAAAACTGCATCGTTTCTGCAGTGCAGATGCACCCTTTGAGAGCCATTTGATTCCTTGCATTTATTTATGAGGCTTTGGGGCTAATTCATTGCCTTCTAGGGGCAGAGGAAATCTATTCAATAAACTGGATAATTGTGTCTAGACAAAAATATAGAAGTGGACATAATGAAAATGTGGGTGTTGAACTGACAAGAGAGAGACAACGGTGCGACATAATGCGCTCGCTGATAAATGGGTGAGTAATTTTTAACGGATCAGGAAATTGAACTACAGAAACAGCCTCAGGCGTCATGTTCCTCTGACATTTTTTAAAAGAATAGCATGATAATAAATGGGAAATGATACCGGAAAATGGGGTGAAGGTCTCTGATTTGATTTTTTTTTTAATTCTCATTAGAGTTGTCCTTAGGTGACATGTAATGCAAGACAATTGTCAATGCCATTGAACTCCAGCCATTTCATTCATATATATATATATATATATATATATATATATATATATATATATATATATGAATCAGCTGGAGCAATCCATGGCCAGGCATTTCAACTCAGGAGATCACAGCCTCTCCAGTTTTTTTCCTTGTTTGGTTCTTCTTCAGGAAATTTAGACAACAGGGAGAAATTTTGGATTTGTAGATTAAAGACCCAATGGCCTAGAAGATGATAAAGGTTAACCATCTAAACAATTCTATTTAACCATCTAAACAATAACCCTCTAAATAATTCTGGAAACAGAGTCTTCTTCACTGACACTGCTGAGTTTCCTCTTTAGCAACTGAAGAAGGTGGAAGATGAAATGGTTTGCCCAATATATATATTCTTGCTTCAGTTCTGTTTGTTAACACATATATTCTGTTTGTTAACACAT